AGAAAATTAAGGAGCTAGAAGAACATGTTCAACAGTATCACCCTCCATAATGTGGGATATTTAACAGAACAGATTACCTGGTTTCTTCAACAAATGAATAGCAGGGTGAAGGGAAGGAGTGGGTAAATTTTTTAAGATTAGAAAACTAGATACAATTGGAGAAATTTAAATATAAACTGGATATTAGATGGTTTTTTAAATTATCAATATTGATAGGTATAATAAAAATATTGCAGTTTTAAGAAATTGTCCTTACTGATTCATACCAAAGTGATATCTGAGATTTTGCTTAAAATACTTTTCCAGAAAAGAAAGTTGGATGTAATAGATGAAACAAGAATGGTAAAATAGTAAATGCTTGAAGCTATGTTACATAGGTTTGAAACATTCTGTACCATAAAATTAAACTTAAAAGATATAGTTGGGCTAGGGATATAGTTAAGAAAAAGATTGCTTGCCTAGCACACAAAATCCCTGGGATCAATCCCCGACACCACTAAACACACACATATATTGGAAAGGGAAAAAAATAGATCACCATAGTAAAAGCGAGCAAAACTGTATTCACTTTCAGAATAGCAGTTTAGTTTAGCAAACAACAACATCCCTATAAATTAACATGTAAAATTTGGGGGAAGGATAAAAAGGCATTTATAATGAAGCCTTACTCAACCTACAATTCATCCACTCTTATACCATAAATTTTTAGACAATACTTCATTTAAAAAGAATAATGAACTCAGAATGGAAGATACATCTGACAGTGGGAATAGTAGATGGACCTAACTCTAGAAGCGGAACACAACAAGGGTCTGTCTTGTCTTCCACCTTAGTCTCCCCCTTGTGCCATTTGTGGCATTCACCTGGGACTGCTGTCTTCTAATTGTGGAGGAGTCAGATTTGTGGCCTTTCCTCACAGCCAGACCTTTGGCTTTGTATATTTATCTGGGATAAAATACCTATTTTACTACAGAATATTTTTGACCTTCTATTGCTCATTGCTTTTGTTCAGTTTTATACATTTTTTTAAATATTTATTTTTTAGCTTTAGGTGGACACAATATCTTTATTTTATTTTTATGTGGTGCTGAGGATCGAACCCGGGGGATTGAGCCAAGGGCCTCAAACATGCTCTAACACTGAGCTACATCCCCATATACACCCCACCTCCCCAGACAGGGTCTCGCTAAATTGCCCACACAGCTCTCAAACTTGTGATCTTCTTGCCTTGACCTCTCAAATAGCTGGGATTACTGGTATGTACTAGTGAGCCTGGCTAAAATAAATGTCCTTGGGCTGGGGATGTGGCTCAAGTGGTAGCGCACTCGCCTGGCATGTGTGCGGCCCGGGTTCGATCCTCAACACCACATACAAACAAAGATGTTATGTCTGACAAAAACTAAAAAATAAATATAAAAAAAAAAATGTCCTTAATGAGTAGATTCAGCCCCTTACAAACATAATTTGTGCAGCTTAATTTACCTTCTGAGAATTTTTTTCTTTCCTGAGTTACTGATTACATGGTATTTTTCCTGGGAGAACATAGTCCATGTCTAATTAGTATATAGAACTGAACACCATAGCACTATTGGTACTTTGACACTTTACAATATTGCCATATTACAATAAGAAAAGTTTGCAGAATAAATTAATATTGAGAGTAATTCCTTCAATGGACTTGCTTTCTAAATCAGAAATTGTTTTTTATGCTATAGAGGCCTAACCCAGTGTGGCTGAGTGATGTAGAAAGCCCTCGCAAGTCTACGTTTTACTGAAATCTCTAGAATTATTCTGCCATAGTAAATTTAAGAGTTAACTAAATATTCCTGAGACCCAACTCCATTTGTAATTTAAATTAAGATATCATACATTAAAAATGTAGTATTTTTTGTATTTGAACATTTGCATAATCTATTTTATTAGCATATCTGTATTATCAATGAATTTTGAGTTCTCAGCCTAGTGTCATTTCTGTCATTGTAACTCTACATAGCCACTGCCATAGTGATATGAAAGTATAAAGATGTCTTGCTAAATATATCTTAATTAAACTTGTCACATCTTCTAAACACAGAGATTTAAACCTAGAACTTTTGATGCTAGGAGATTTAAGTACAAAAATAAGCCAGGTATGGTGGTGCACTCCTGTAGTTCCAGTGACTCCGGAGGCTGAAGCAGGTAGATCACAAGGTTGAGACCCCTAAGCAACTCAGCAAGATCTTGCCTCAAAATAAAAAGTAAAATGTGCTAGGAATGTGTCTCAGTGGTTAATAACCACTGGGTTCAATCCCCAATACTGGGCTGGGGTTGTGGCTCAGTGGAAGAGTGCTTGCCTAGTACACATGAGGTACTGGGTTTGATCCCCAGCACTACACACACACACACAAAAAAAAAAAAAAACAACTAAATAAATCCCCAGTACCCAAAAAATAAAGGTGAATAAGACTAGATTTGAAAAATGTTACTACTAAGAACAATTTTTAAGAATTATAAACAGTTATAAAATAATCATACAGATTATATTGCTACTGGTAAAAATGAATTGTTACTATTAATTGAGTACTGTTTGTCAGGCACTTCACTAAACACTATTTACAAAGTAGTAATGTATGCTGTTTTTGTACTGCACAAAGTTCGGTTGGGGTTTTAAGAAATACAAATGCCATAAGAGTAATAGTTGTTGTGTAATCTGTATACTCTGTCACATTGATGAAAGAGATCATTTTCTTGAAGTAGTTGGAAGTACTGTAAAAAATGCATGCTTTCTAAAACATTAAAATTATCCATCTTGTGATGGAAACTAATGAAATTAGTGGTAACCTCTCATCCTAATGACCAAGCTCTTTGGCCCTGTACTAGAGTGGTTTTTATCTTAATTCTTAGCATATTTGCTTTCTGAATTTATATGATATCTAATAAAGTTAACAGGGAATTGCATTTTTGACAGTTCAGAGGACACATTTTCTACTTTCTAAAAGTATGTTCCTACATGTGAAATTTGAGAATCCCACCAATTTTGTTTTGGGTTCGGGGTTTGGGGTTTTTGGGTTTTGCTGTGCTGTGGCTCAAATCCACGTCTTTGCAGATACACTAGGTAAGCATTCTACCACTGAAATATACGGAGCTGTTATTCATTCATGTGAAGCCATTAATCGTATGAGCACTTTTATGCCATTTAGAGACAACTAGTAACTAATACTTAAATTTTGAATTTTTTAAATTTTTAGTTGTAGATGGACACAATACCCTTATTTTATTTACTTTTTTTTTGGTGGGGGGGAGGTACCAAGAATTGAACCCAGGGGCACTTAACCACGGGCTGAGGCTGGCTTTGTACTTGCGGTCCTCCTGTCTCAGCCTCCTGAGCCACTGGGATTACATGCCCCAGTGTATTTACTTATTTTTATGTGGTACTGAGGATCAAACCCAGTGTCTCACATGTAGTAGGCAAGCACTCTACCACTGAGCTACAACCCCAGCCCCTGAAATTTGATTTTTATTGTCAATATATGCAACCATATTGTAATTTTTAAAGGGTCATTAAAATAATCCATAGGAATTAAATATGAACTCTCCCCATATGTCAATGATAGGCAGTTTCCTCCCTGTTCTCTCCTTCATAGCTAGAGTAGCCATTCAGTTTTTCTTGATAACATGACTAGAATGGTAAAGCCTAGAGAGCAGTACCCTTTTCCACCCAGTTTTACCAAACCTGCTATTGACAAGTGAACAGATTTGGATTGATTGCCTTTTGTTTTCCATGGTAACAGATAGTTACCCTATTAATAAATAAGTGGTAAAAGACCAATAAAGAAGAGAAAAGGAAAAAAATAGACAAAATTTTTAATCAGCAAACTAGAGAATCTGTTTCTGAATGTTTCTCTGTCTCCTACCATCTGTTATGAAGTCCTTGTCTTCAGTAACTGTCTCGGTCTTCCTTGTATTACAGACATGTGGCCCAGGGTAGTTCATTTAAGCTAATGTACATAAATTTGGATGTAGTTAACATGAAATGTTGTCAGTTTGCTAGCTACATGGAAAATAAAATGGAACAGGAATATAGAAAAGAAGGAGCTAGGGTTGTGGCTCAGTGGTAGAAGGCTTGCCTAGCACATGTGAGGCACTGGGTTCGATCCTCAGCACCACATAAAAATAAATGAGTAAAATAAAGGCATTGTATCCATCTACAACTAAAAATATTTAAAAGAAAAAGAAAATTAAGAGTGAAGAATCTCTTCTGCTTTACATAGCCTTATTTTGAGGGAATAGGACAGACCTTTCAACATTTTTTTATAATGTATATTCTGTTAGTCCATATCACACGACCAAAAAGAAACTCACTTTTCAGTTTGGGATTTTGCAAACAGTAGCTTATGAAAAATATAAAATATGCACACCTATACCTATCCTAAAATTGCTTTTATCAACCCAAAACTAATAACTAGAAATTTCAAAATCTGGGCATATTCTATAAGTGAGATTAAAGAGCCTAGTCGTTACTCAGTAGACATGGGGGCAAGACTGTTGATAATATCAACCCCACAGCACTGTATTCAGTATTGGTGTTTGATAAGCAGGGGTAAGGAATTTTCTTTTGGAAAGTAGGATAATAAATTGTGTATGTACCTGTAAAAATATCTCTTCTAAGTGAATTCTTACTGAGAGAGTAACTATTAAAAGTTTAATTGTAGTTTGTCATTTTGTTTTGATCTTATACTAAAAATTTCCAACCAAACAACATGTAAATATATCTTTTTCAATATGACAAAGTTGCATAAGAGAATCCCCTTGCACGTAAAGAAAAATGCAATTATTTTCTATTCTGAATCTCCAGACTGCTGTTTTAGAAAATCATATCTGATTATTTGCTCAGCAGAAGATTATTGAGTTGATTTAGCTGTGATTTTACTTAACAAAGCTTCAACTGCATTCCTACTGTGGAGTCCGAAAAAGGTAGAGAGATATAAATGATACATTCAAACTGTGATTTTTGTGAACAGGGCCATCGATGCACCCCTCGGAGCTAATAGCGGAGATGAGAAACAGTGGGTTTGCACTGAAACGAAATGTACTGGGGAGAAACTTGACCGCAAATGATCCATCACAGGTAATGATCTTTTTATCAGTAAGCTGAAAATGTCTATAAATCTAAATGTGATTGCTTGTGAATTGCTACTTAATGTTTCCAATATGCATATATCCATAGGAAAGTCACATAGAGCAAAGAAAATTCCTAAAATGTATTTTGATTTTGCCTCTTTATTATTTTAACCTAAATGAGAAATTGTTTATAAACCTATATTTTAATAAATGAAACGGCTCCTCTGTGTTTATATGGATAAAATAACCGAATGAGTGTTAAGATTGTTTTTCCCTTCCTGCCAACTCACCCCTGACATGACATTAAATTGAACTAATGGTAAGAAATATATAGGCAAACTCCTAAAAATTATAGAAAATATTTTTAAACTTTTTTAATTTATTAAAGTTAGAAAATAGTTGAGTTTGAAGGGTTGTATTAGTATGTATTCGATAACATACAATTAAAATTATAAAGGCTAAAATTATGGATATCTGTGGATATTTTGACCTTCCTATAAGATTCATGATCTTTTTTTTTCTTTCTTTCTTTTTTTTTTTACAGTGTTGGTAATTAGTTACGTGCTAGACAAGTGCCCTACCCGTGAGCTACACTCCCAGCCCCTCATGATCTTCTTGTTTTTTTAAATTTCATTAAATTATTTTAAAGATAAAATATTTAAATAGGAAAATGCTGAAATTCAAGAAATCTAAAGATTGTTTTTCTTTTCTTCCTGATAAAGTTTTCTAATGTTAGCAAGGCAGTTGTATTAACATCTTATGATCCATTGTAACAGGTAGACTACAAAGAAATTTTAAAAATTCCATTCGCAGCCGAGTACAGTAAGATATATCTGTAATGTCAACGGCTCACAAGGCTGAGACAGGAGGATCACGAGTTCAAAGCCAGCTTCAGCAAAGGCAAGGCACTTACAACTCAGTGAGACCCTGTTTCTAAATAAAATACAAAAAATAGGGCTGGGGATGTGGCTCAGTGGTTGAGCATCCCTAAGTTCAATCCCTGGTACCAAAAAGAAGAAAAAGAAAAAATTCCATTTGCAGTTCCTAGTCCAAAATACCATATTCATCTATAGTATGTCCCTAAAAAAAAAAATTCTTGTTCTATGAATGTTTTCTTTCCTGATAACTACTTGTCTGAAAATTTAGCAATTTGATGTCTTTGTTGACTCAGGAGTATGTTGCAAGTGAGGGTGAAGAGGATCCAGAAGTGGAATTCTTAAAGTCACTCACAACCAAACAAAAAGAAAAACTTCTCAGGTAATTAGAAAAGCATACATTTAATAGATTTTGTGTGTGCATGTTTGTGGTGCTGGAGATCTGAAGCAGGGCCTCATGCACTACAAGGCAAGTGTGCTACCACTAAGCTACACCCCCAGCAGAACTAAGAGGTCTTGAAGCTATTTAATATGCATATGTTGATTTATTCTTCAGCCATAGTAATACAATTCTGTTGTCTTTTTTTTTTTTCAATAATATAAGATTGTGTACTTGGATAATACCACAAACTATTGCACTTTTCAGTATATTTAATTTGAAAATTGACTTATTTGTAGGTTTTACTTTTCAGAATAGATTTGTGTGTATCTTTGCACAGTTTGTTCTTAGAAAATATTTTTGGTGCTGGGAGTGGTGGCACATGCCTGTAATCCCAGCAGCTCAGGAGACTGAGGCAAGATGATCCCGAGTTCAAAGCTAGCCTCAGCAAAAGGAGGCTTGCTAAGCAACCCAGTGAGACCCTGTCTCTAAATAAAATACAAAATAGGGCTGGGGGTGTGGCTCACTGGTTGAGTGCCCCTGAGTTCAATTCCGGGTACCAAAAAAAGGAAGAAAGAAAATGTTTTTGCCCATGTGTCTTTGTTTTCTTTCTACATCTTATAAATTTTTGAGAAATGCTGAAAGAATGTTTAAGGTACATGTAAACTTTATATTAGACTACCTTTGGATTAATAAATCTAAGAAATGTCTGCTGAGTCCAATAGAGGGAGCTCATGATGTTCTCAGGAAGTAGAGTTTTAAGAATGGCTGACAAAAGCCAGTGAAGACACTTACCTCAGAGAAACTCAAACATACCATATAAACAAGAAGTTACTCTTCTGAGACTGCATATTGGTCTTTAGAAATTCTCAATGCCCTGATAGAATTGCTCTAATTATTTATAAAACTGAACAGTTGTTGAAAAGTAGTATGTGATTGTTTTGTTACACAAACCTAGAAAGGTCATCAATTTTTATTTATTTTTGTGGTACTGGTGATGGAACTCAGGGGTGGTTTACCACTGAATTACATCCCCAGTCCTTTTTGTTTATTATTTGGAGACAGGGTTTTGAGCCTAAGTTGCTAGGGCTGGTCTTGAACTTGCCATCCTCCTGCCTCAGCTTCCCAAGTAGCTTAAGATTACAGGTATGCACCACCATGCACAGCTAAGGGTATCTTTTTTTTTTTTTAGTTGTCAATGGACCTTTATGTTATTTTTTTTTTTTTTGAAAATTCATATTCATTTTATTGATTGTTGAAGTTCAGTCTCAGATGTGTCATCCAGGCCTTTCTGATACTGTCTCTCTGAGGCTTTTCTTCGGTAGACATCATAGAAGGTCTCCTGGCCCACTCGCACGTTAATCATGATCCACTCCATTGTTCCTCCCAGGATAAAAAAGAAGGGCAGGAACCTGTAGAGGCCGAGTCGCTCCTTCCCGGGCACCCACTGCAGAACTCGCCTCACCTGGGCCCTGGAGAACATGCTCGATTGAGGTTGTGGCTCTGGGTGCGATGGAACCAGGTGCGACTGAAGCTGAAGCCGCCCTGCCCGTCCTCGCTGGGCTCGGCGACCTAGGCGATGAGTGACCGCAGCCGAGTCACTGCCCGGCAGCTGCAAAAATTTGGGAGCTAAAGCTGACCTCCAGGCCTAGATCCCTGTGCAGCTCAGCCAATCAAACTGCTTCCTTTATGTTATTTTATTTATATGTGGTGCTGAGAATAAAACCCAGTGTCTCAGACATGCTAGGCACGCTTTCTACCACTGAGCCACAACCCCAGCCCTAAGGGTATCAATTTTTAAAGTATTTTTATTTGGAATTTTTGGAGAATATATTCTTGAATATTGATAATGTAATATTAATATTTATTCTTGAATACTGATAATGTAATATTAATATTTTCATACTATAATACGCAGAAAGTTTCCAATAGGTTCAACTAATGTGTACACCGTTCACAGGCTTTCAGATATATATAGATATTTCTCTCTTTTTTTTTTTAATTGCAGATAGACACAATACCTTTATGTATTTATTTTTATGTGGTGCTGAGGATCAAACCCAGTACCTCATACATGCGAGGCCAGCACTTTGCCACTGAGCCACAATCCCATCCCTCACAGGCTTTCTTTAGATCAGGATTACCATTCCCTTAGAGTACTAAATAACTTCAAATTCTAACCCAGTAAGAATTTAATAGTCATTTCCATTGATGAAGTACAATCAGAGAATTGACTTAATACATTTATTTACTTAAATATAATGTAAACATGCCTTGAACAATTTAAAAGGAAAAAATGATTTGTCATTTAATAAAAGTAAATAAGTTGTTTATATATGAATACCATTTTTTAGTAGCTTCTAAGAAAGCATATTATCCATTAACAATTTTATAGTTGGTGAAGTGGCTATTTTTTAGTTTGCTACTATTTTTTCCCCAATTACAGGAAATTGGACAGACTTGAAAAGAAAAAAAAGAAAAAAGATAAAAAAAAGAAAAAGTTACAGAAGAACAGAAGTAAACACAAAAAACATAAAAGCAAATCCTCCTCCTCTTCCTCTTCCTCCTGCTCCTCCTCTTCCTCCAGTACAGCTTCAGAAAGCAGTAGTGAGAGTGACAAAGAAAAGAAGAAAAGAAAGAAACACAAATGTTCAGGAAATAACAGTGATTCTGAAGAAGACAAGTCTAAGAAGAGAAAACTTCATGAAAAACTTTCTAATAGTCATAGTAACAAGGAAAAAAATAGGTCTTTAAAAAAAGAGAGTTCCGGAGAGAATAGCAAACAGAGCTATCCTGATAGCCACAGGTCCAAAAGCCACCACCACAGCCCAGAGAAAAGAGGATCAGAAAAAAAAGAGGGGAGCAGCAGAAGCTGTAGCAGGGATGAGAGGAGTAGGAGAAGCCGAAGCAGAAGTCCTGGTAGCTATAAGCAAAGGGAGATAAGGAAGCAGCCACAGCGGAGTCCCAGTGAAGAGCGCAGCAGAGGAAATGACAGCAGGAGCCATGGCACCAGTGTATACAGAGGAGAAAGAATGCACAGGGAGCATCCCGGAGATAAGCACACCAAAGGGACCCACAGAGAAAGAAGCAGAAGTCGGGAGAGAATAAAGAGACCACATGTAACAGTTACCTAGTAATAAAAGCATCTCCACTTTCTTACTAAACACTTTTAGTAAGGGCTAAATTACGTACTATTATCTTTGTAATAAATAAAGCTCTATTTTAATTTTCCATCTCTGTAAACTGTCATTTCAAATATAAAACCATAAGAATGAATTTTGCAAATATTTGTAAGTAATGTATTTTGAGAATGTAGAAATATTTTCTGTTGGTAACTGTTTCTTGTGCCCCTGTACCAGATAAAACCCCATATAATTCTGACATTTTCTTTGTTCTGAAACATCATTAAAAGAGTGATAGTACATTGAATGGTTATAATTTGATTTTCTTTTTGGTCAATTCAAAATTGTTATTACTTTTAAGATTTGAATTTGCTTGAAGCAAAGTGTAATCATTGAAATTCACTAGTGTGAATTAAGGGATATTTATTAATATTTCTTTAGGGCTTTTAAACTCCTTTCAGGTGTTTTGTTCTACAGAGGAAGCTATTTACATTTGGATGATCCATTAGCTTTCTATGCTCCCATAGAAGTAGCATAGAATTTTACCTCAAACTTAGAACAACATAATAAAAATCAAGGCAGAGGCAGGACTGTGTTCCTTCTGGGGGCTCCAGGGGAAAAAAATTCTGTTTGCTCACCTTTGCAGCTTTTTACCGGCTCCCTTCCTCCATTTTTCAAAACTAACAAAGGGGAGTCAAGTAGTAGACACTTCCATATTCGGCATTCTTCTACTTTTTTAGGACCCTTGAAATTACATTGGGCCCACCTGCAGAATCCAGGATAATCTCCTATTTTAAAATCAATAGATTAGCAATCCTAATCCTCCTTTTCCATATAACGTAATATGTACAGGTTCTGGGGTTAGGACATGTATATCTGTGAAGGACCATCCTACCTACCATAGATGGCCTTTCTACTACCAGCATATAACTATTATCAGATTTTGCTTAAAAAGATCAAGCATTTAGATTATGTCCCAAATGAAATAATATGGACTATTTCAATACATTTCATGAGTATAAGAATTATAAGACATATTTAAACTTAACTGTAAATTCTATATTTCAAAGGAAAGATTTAGAAAAAAATAGCACAAATCATAAGTAACATGCAATTTAAAAAAAAACATTTCACATCATGGACATAATATTTTGTTATTAGGGCTCTACTTTTTTAAAGACATCTGTTATTTAATACAAAATAAATATTGATTAGATGGTTTTGATAGTTGGCAGTCACAATTTCTTAGGTTCTGTAAGAAAGTAAATTTGAAAGAAAAGTTAAATAAAATCATTCCAAGTAGTCTGATACATATCTCTTATTCTTGTCTGCACACACAGAAAACAAGTGTGCTACAATTTAAAAGAAACTAAGGTATAAGGAACACTTTGGTTATTTAGATTAAGAGAACTAGAGGAGGGGAGAGGAACCTGAATTCCTCCTTCACTGTTCTTTCATAATTTACAGTTCATCTCAAAGACCCCATTCCTTCACATTATATGTATTAATAAGTGTGCATTTAAAATTGATAGACTGCTAATTTACACCTTAAGTTCATCGGTGTTGTGATTATTTTATCTTATACCTTCTTAGACTTATCATTTTCATAATGTAAAAACCTATGCAATACTTAGTGCTTTAAAAATGGTTTCTGAACCAATATAGTACTCAGGAAGAGAAATGTTGAAAATGAATCTTGTAATTAAGAATGAATTAAAGAAATACATATTTCTTTTCACTTTGACTTTCACAAAAGTGTAGTCCACTTTTAACTTTAAAGTAGCTGTTAGGTTTTTTTTTTTGTTGTTTTTTTTTTTTTTTGGTGTGTGTGTGTGTGTTTTAAATTATTCCGATTTGTTAATTTCAAATGACAGCAGAATGCATTTCATAGTACACACATGGAGCACAATTTTTTATGTCTCTGGTTGTACACAAAGTATAGTCACACCATTCGTGTCTTCATACATGTACTTAGGGTAAGGATTTGTTTATTTTTAAATCTCTGATTTAATTCTTCATTGTTAAGATTGAGAAACCATGAAGTGCTATTTCTTTATGAGAAAAATTTTCTTAGAGAAAAAGTCCCACGTAGTTATGGAAGATGTCAATTTGCTGTTTGTCTTATGGCCTTGGTCACCCAAGCGTGTGCTAAACAACCCCAATAAGCTAGCATTCTAACTTCATAAACTTAAAAATGGAAGGGAAGCATTTTCACACAGTCATAACACATAATAAACAGCTTTAAAGAGGTTTTTCTAGTGTACTTTGTGCATCCTAATGATATAGGGGGGAAGTGATTTTTTAATAAAAATTCTAGGCACCTAATTCTACTTTTGCTTTTGAAATGTAAAAACCAGAGATGAACCTCAAAAAAAGGGGGGGATCTGTCTAGTTGTATGTGTAGAGATTCCTCGAAGTACAGAAGCCAAAGAAGAATCCTCCAAGTTTAATATGATTTAAGAACCCAAACAAAAGTCCTCAACAGTCTAGGTTCAGTGGCTACCCAGGAGGCTAAGGCAGGAGGATCACAAGTTGGAGGCTAGCCTGGGTAACTTAGCCACACTCCAGCTCAGTAAAGTAAAAAAAGGCTTGAGTTTTAATCTATGGTAGAGTGGCCCTAGGTTAATCTCCATTACCAGGCAAAATTAGTACTCCAAAGTGACAATTTTGTGAAAATCCATCGGGTGAGGTTGGTCATATTTCTTACCCTTAATAGAGAAGTTCTTTTAAAGGAATCTGGGTACATGTAGACATTTCTTGATTTGTCCATAGGCCTGGAACTGCACTGAGAGGCATAGAACACGTTTGGGGGACATCCCCTTAATCCTTTTACCCCAAGCCTAACTAACACTTAAAGTAACACTAACAAACTGATTCCTGTAGGAGGTGCTGTCGATTTACAAATGACCAGGAACGATCAGGTTGCTAGGTTAGGACTTAAGTTATCTGAATGTCTACATAGTGAATTACTTAAAATTTCTTTTAATAAATGACAAAATAGTAAGAGGTTGCTGCAGCGTAGCAGCAGGTCTGCTTACCTTGCAATGTGAAATCGATCTTGTTTTGAATCATACAGATGCAATCTGAAGAAAGCTTTTTATGTGAAAGATTTGGAGCGACCTTTCTTACTGTTCTTCCATGAGACGGCTTGCTGACAGAGAAACAGATCAAATCCCCACTGCTGGAAGCAGGCTTTCCCAATTTTAATCAAGGAACATTTTTGGTATGCTTTAGCCCTGAAGCTCAGAGTTCAAAATCCACTTGGCCCATTTCACTTTTCTTACTTAACGACCAGCGAGCCAAGACGCTGGCGGAGGCCTGTCAAAAAGGCCACATCCTCCACACCCTGTGCTTAAGACCAGGAAGAAAGCTGCATTTTTAGCTCCAGTAGCTAAAGGATACTAAAACATCTTATTTAGGTTTTCTGAAAAGAAACCTTTGCTATAGTTACCACTTCTTGAAAAGAAATAAAGAAAGGCATGCAATACCTGCGGGCCTTGGGAGCATTTTAAGATCAAAAGGAGAAATGCTTTTTAAAAGTTGTGAGGAACAAATAGAAACGAGGGAACTTAGCTTTGGGAAACGCAACTGAGAGCTGTCCTGATTGAGGCTCCTAAATCCCGGTTCCTGCTGGCAGAAAAGAAAGCAGATAACTTTTCGCCACCTTCTCCTTTTCTCCTCCCTCACACCACACTTAACAGAACCCCAGAACCCCCAGAATGTGACAGTAATAATGAAGAGAGGTTCGGAATGAAATGCCAAGAATTGCTTGGACTGGAGAGAAATGCACGCTCCGGCCGCACTGCCTGTGAGCCGCCTTCCCCCACTCGGAGACACACAAAACCTCTGTCCCTACTGCTCCAAAGACTTCCCGAGGGGGTGGGAAGAAGTAGAGGTCCGGGAACTCTGGTGCGGTTCAGAGCCGGGCTTCCAAGGACATCACCCTAAACCAAAAGGAAGCAGGAAGAGGCTAGGGTAGGGTGGTAGGGTGAGTTCCGAACTGGGGTCGCCCCTTCCCCTCCCCAGAAGTGACCCCACACTGCATTCTCTGATGTTTTCTTTCCCGACACGCTTCTGGCAATCTTTTGAGCACTCTCAAATGGACTGAGAATTAGGGTGCACAACCTTTCTGGAAGATGCGCCTCTTGCGCTAGGAGGCCTCTAGACTCCCCTACCCATAAAGTGTAGCGGGAAAGGGTCCAAGTTAGCTCTCTGTACCGGTCCTTCGTCCCCTCTCCACCACAGTGGCCTAAACGCATCCCGAAGAAATTCCCAGGCCTCGAGGCTGCGGGTCAGGGGAGCTGCGCGCCAGGGGCCTCGCCTGCCACTTCCCGCCTGAGCTCGCCTGGCCTCCGGCGCGTCTCTCGTGCGCGGGTCGGAGGGCGGACTCGCCAGCAATAGTTAGGAAGGCGAGCGAATTTCTCTGGTGGCTGGGGCTCCACAGGTGAAGAAGGCGCTTTTATGAAGCCAGTGCTAATCTCTCGCTCCTGGGGCAAAAAAAAGAAAATGTCAACGCTTGTCATCAATCTGCAATCATATAACGGACTGGGGGAGTCACACCCTATCAGTTTGCATTTCTTTTATAAATGAATCACCCTGGTAGGATAAGATGCACACAAAACAATGCAAAATGCCCAGCTTGCGTTTCCAAAGGAAGAGTGTGCAAAGGTTTTCGAAAAAACAGAAAACTCCAAGGTGCTAACATTTCCCGGGTCCCTGAGAACGAGCCCTGGATGGATGTATTCCAATGGACATTCTGAAACCTTCTCCCTAACTGGAGATGAAAACATACCGCATGTATTTATATCAATAATATATGGGGGAGGCATGTCTGTATGTATTTACCTCATACATATTTCTATAAACTCCAGCATCTGGAAAGGGTGGGGGGTAAATAACACTGAACGGTTAAAATTATGGAGAAGGGATAATAACTGATTACTAATTTGAAAGTAAATAAACAGGTGACTTTTTCAGATCAAATTCCTCCTTGGATCGTTACAATAAATATCTCTGAAGGAAGCTCTCTATTTATGTTGTCATTGATTAATTCTTCACTACCTCATTTGATTTCGATTTAGAACGATTTGATTCTAATTTAATTAGCATGTAATTTGGATGTACATAATTACTGTAATTATGACATTCAGGTAAGGCAGCTTTAGGCTGAAAGGCAATTTCAAATTTTCTAGCAACCTACTTTGTACTGGGAAATGGACAAGGACTTTGCGCCCTGCTATCCAAGTAGTAATTAGCACATCTTTGAAATAGGCAGTGCGGCGGCGTTTGTATTAAAACAGCAAATAC